TGTCTACATTAATTTTCCAAATTTTATTCAAAATGCACTTAGCATTCATGGAGATGCAAAGAATGTAAGGCTTGTACATATATGATGAACCTCTGTGAATCCGTTCTGATTTAATTACAAACGTTTTAAGAATTAAAATTTGAGCAAGTAAAAGGAATTGGGTGGTAGACGTTTTGATAATTATCATTAGCCCTTTAGCTGACTTCGGGCTTGTCATCATTAGCCATTTAGCTGATTTCGGGCTTCACAGAGGGATAGAAACATCAAAGTGAGAAAAATTCGAGAGGGAGAACAGAGGAGCATCAAATTGGGAAAAGTGGAGGAGTGGATAGAAGGGTGATTCTCAGATATAAAAGAGACAGACAGACACATAGTCAGAGAAAAGGTAAGGTGAGCACTCCAGATGAGGTCAAATATGACATACGAGAGGGTCATGATAGTTTGAAGTCAGAAGTCAACTGCCGATTAATAGACTCTTTTTCCGTATGAGTATATGTTGCCTAGGGTGCACCACGTGGAGGTAAGTCTATCTCTCACCCCAAACTTGAAGAATAATATTTTACGTTTTTTTAATAAGTAATGGACCATTAGACTTTCTTGTAAGAATAAGTTTTAGACATATGGCATCGGATATTTTTTTATCTGGAATGTACCGGGTGGCCAAGATAAAAGAGGTCGAATATAATATTATTTTTTATTTAAAAGAGGCAAGTACAGAGTATCGTGACTACCCGCATACTGAACATATAGGAGTTTAGAGCAAGTGTTGAAAGCATTTACGGTGAACTCAGGTACACAATTCGGCATATCTTAACACTGTACATTTTACAAAACGTCCGTAATTTGTTAAAAATAATTTTTATCACTTTATTATCAGCTAATACTGCACCGCAATGGTTTATTCATCCCTAATCGACGCTGTAGAAAACCTTTTCTCTCAAGAACACATCAGTCCTGCTCGTGTGACTGGAAGTTTCACTACCGATGATCTCCACTTCACTCCTGCTTGATCATAGGTTTAGGTAAGAAATAAATATTTAAACCAAATTCCCTCGCACTGAAATCACAATATAATCATATATTATCCAGTGTATTAAAACAAATTCAAATTAATTTATGCAGAAAGGTTGGGAGAAAAAAAAATTGAATCAACGCCAAATTATTATGTCATCTAAACACTTAACAAAAAGAACGAATTCAAATTGGTAACCATGACTTTTCAAAGAATCTGCCTGTTGGGTTTAGAAAAATATGCACTTTCCAAGGTAATGAAATTCCAGACGTACACCTCAATAAATTGCCTTCAACCATTCACAAGAAATGCACTTTTAATTTAATTCATGTCTTTTTCCAGCATGTTCACATGAGGATGCCAGACGGTAGTCTCCTGGTTGATTGTAACAAGCCATTCATACTAGACAAATATTTATTTATATCAAATGGCAAACGTTTAGATAGAATTCATTAGCCCTTTAGTTGACTTCAGGCTTCACAGAGGGGATAGAACATCAAAGTGAAAAAAGGTCGAGAGGGGGGGGAACAGAAGTGTTTCAAAAACAAAGGTAGAAAAAGGTGAGATGAGTACTGTGAAAGCTGTGTACTATGACATGCAGTGGGATGATGGTAGTTTGAAGTAAGAAGTCAACTGCCGGTTAATAGACTTTTTGGCGTATGAGTATACGTTGCCCAGGGTGCACCACGTGGAGGTAAGTCTATCGCACACCTCTACTAGGCAAATATAAATAGGCCGTAAAACCGATCTGAAAAGGTTCCCTTATTCGTTTAAATGATGAAAGAACCAAATCGTTTATTTTTTCCCAAGCGGAACAGATAGAAAAATTACAAACCGTTTATATTTTATAAACACTATTACTATTTATGATTATTAGGAAGACAGGGCAACTTCAGTTTCGATCATCGTTATAGTCCACTTCTTTCGAGGAAGTATTATTTTGTACTTTCATTGATTCGTATTGCCCTTAAAGTCTTAAGATGACCAGATATTTAAGGAGGTTCTATGCCATCCACCAGCTAGGATGTTCAAAGGGCTTTGTTTCATGATAAAAGATGTTGAAGAACCATCGCACAGGTGTACACGTTGGGATGGATGCAACAAGCGTGGGTGGGATGGGAAACCCAAGATCGTGGGATGGCAGCTGAATCCAAATGAAGTTCAATTGAAGTTTTGGATTACACGGGTATTTCCGACTATTCACTCAACCTTATTGGACCAGAAGGTTTACGAGGAAGGATTTTTTTATTGGTCACCCTGCACATGAACCTTAAACTACATTTACTTAACATTGGTATTTATTCAGCAGACTTCAGACAAGTCTCCAAGGAATAGAGCAGCAAAATATTCTTATTATACGCTTATTTTTCTGGACTAAACAGCGTGAGAGCCTTCTTGGATTATTAAAAAAATCTCAACGATTTAGTTATCTACTACTACAACACATTTTGCGGAAAAATAGAGCAAACAACTCGAATTGGAATCCAGTAAATGAAAAGGCCAAGTCATTTGCCAATTTAATTTCCAAAGTTCGAAACTCACGGTCTTCTCCATTCAATTCATTACAAGTTAGAATCCCTAAAACTTTTAATCCACTTCGAACCACCGATGAATTTCAATATAAAGCTCACAAGCAATCAAAGATCGCAATTATGATAGTTTTAATGCAAAAAGTTTAGTTTTTGTTTGACTAAGATAAATTATTGCAAAACGCTGAATAAGAACAGCATATTTTTCGCATTTTTGGTTAATCAAGAAGGAGAAGATCCACGGGAAGATATCATTAGTTAAAGTTAACACAGTTTTTGGAGAAAAATTTGTAACGAAGTTGATCCTTTCCATTTCCCGATAACTGGACCATTTCCACTCATGAATAAACATTAAATTTATCAAAAAAAAATAAAATTTGATGAGCAGAGCGATAGAGTAAGCACTTTCAGCTATGAAAATTAAGGGTATGAATCTGGTGAAATAGATTTGAATTTTCGTCAGCCCCGTCAAATTATCAACTCATAATTTTAGCCCTTAAATGCCCCTTGGATGGCACAGTCCACTTTCAAAACCAGCTCCATTGGTACTAGACTCGCAGCAGAAGGCGCTAATATTGCCGTTTGGAACACGTTCAATACGTGTCCATAGCCTTCGCCTGATACACCACCGAAACTCATCACGTCGGTGGAATCAGTCTGGTATGGGACACGCGTGAGTGCGTTTGGGTGCGTTTTTCAAAAAAATAATAAAGGGTTGAAACCACCTGAATAAAAGTTAGTTCTTTGACGAAAAATCTTCAACATCGAAAAATGAAAGTCAATATTTCTCTTTTAAAATCCTCCCCATAATTATATACGCTTTATCAAGGCTTATGTACTTACATTAGAAGACAAGTTCATTTCCTCAGGAATGAGACAACGAGAAAAGGACGCCAGTGCTCTTTAGGTGTCTGGGAAATGGAAAAGTCTAGACAATATATTATTCGGAAACCTTGAAAAAAAACGCCCGTTGTTCCCACTTTTCCATGACACGTGGATGCCGCATAAGTGGTGGAGTAAGATATCGCAAGCTTACTAATTTGAGTAAGTAAAGTTTGATGTACCTAGGATTGAGCCTAACACAGAATGATGGTTCATCTCGGTAAAACAAACGTTAGAGTTAACAACGATTAACCCACACAAACAAAGAGAGACTGACTTTGATCATAGCTAGGATATTTGGCACCAGGGAAAATTCATAGTAAAATAGACGTATGGACAAACGAAGCAAATATATTCTCCGTCCGTACAACTTTTTTTTCATTCAAAGTTGTAAAAATGTGTGCGCTTGTAACGTTTCATCTTCAAGTCGTTAGCAAAGGGAGATTATATGGCACACGTTACCTGTTAAAATTAGCTTTTAACATTTCGGAGTGTTTATTAGTAAGTAAGTAAAAACTGATGGGAATATCTTTTGATTCCCTTTACAAGTTAGTACATTTTTAATATTTATTTATTTCAAATGGCAGGCGTTTTGATATTTGTCATTAGCCCTTTAGCTGACTTCGGGCTTCACAGAGAGGTGGAGGAACTTCAAAGTGGCAAAATGTCGTGGGGGGAACTGAATAATAACTCACAGATGTAAAAGAGACAGACAGACAGAGAAAAGGCGAGATGAATACTGTGAAAGTAGTCGAATATGGCATACAGTTGGGTCATGTTAGTTTAAAGTGAGAAGTCAACTGCCCATGGTGCACCACGTGGAGGTAAGTCTATCGCAAACCCCTATTTTTAATATTAAAAATTATGAAGGGCAGTTTATTTTGGTGGACCTCTCACCAATTCTTGTCTTTTCAGAGTGAACAAAATTGAGCCGCTTGATTGATCAGTTAATAGTGGAAATGAAATGTAATTTAATTCCGAAAATACTTGACGACAGATACTTCAATGCAATTTGATGTTGAGCCATTACATCAACTTTCTGTTTTAATTCATTTATTTAATTTGAATAAAACCTCTATTATCCGAAACGATATTTAGCTAATTTAATTTTTCACCCGAAATTGATAATCTTTATAACTATCTCCATTTAGGAGTGCTATAACTAGCCATTTTAAATGTTAAAAAGGATATCAAAATTTTATAGAGCTATAAAATTCGTTCTTTTTCAGTCAGTGATTTGATTACTAAAAGTTCAATCAATTTTTTTTTCAAATTTTCAATTTTGAGGAATAGGAATTTATGCTGAATTATTCACAATTACATTCATGAAATCAGCAAAGGTTATTATGCAAGCTCTTGATTGATATGAATAAAAAAGCAGAGGATAGTTTCCATAGAAAGATTTGAATACTCCTAACAAAATTGGACACATCGCCCTCGAATTTATTTTCCGGAAGTGAAAAAAGAGCCTTTTTTATAAGAAATAAGTGTATATTATTGAACAAACGCAAGTGATTTAACAAAAAATTATACGGTAATAACATGAAAAAAAACATTTTGGAATGTGGAGGTAATGGTTATTGGGACAGTGCACTAATCAGAAGTTCCGTCGAGGAGAGAAGACTGCGAACACGTTCATCTGCGTTAGTTTGGCAGAAGGTCTTCAAGTTATTCAAGTGATGCAAAAAGCCTTCTCCCCTGAGGAAAGCTCGAACCTGAAACAAGGAGAATGTACTTTGTTGAATGCCATCGAGTGATGCCTACACGAAATTCCCAAAATATATGTAGTTACTTCTTATTAGGACAAATCAGTAGTTATGGTGACCAGACACTTAAAAAGACCTCGAACAGGGTAGGACTTGAGTGGATTGCATCGCATTATAGGGAAATAAAGGCAGTCAGAAGGCTGAAAAAAGCCAACAACTTACTAACCGGATTCGAAGTAGTTCTATGCACTTAGAGTCGTGATATTTAGTAATGCACATTTACCTTTGTCCAAGCGTTGACAACTAGTGTCAGAAAGCTAAAGAAATAAACACTTAAGACAACTGGTTAAAGACTAAAAGTCGCCCAAATACCACGTCGCATAAAAACAACATCAGAAAATTGGCAAATAAACACCAAGCCATACTTCATTTTCTTTCTTTTCTTTAAATCGTTTGAAGTTTTCTTTTAAAATAAAGGAAATTTAAATCAGATTTGATTGACAAGAAGACAATTAACACTCTGAGGTCCCTACTCGACAAACCTACACAATGTTACTCTTCTATTGGCTAATACAAAAAGTGCGCATCCAATGATGTACTTTGATATCTTGCGCGCTATTTGATGGTGTGATACAAATCAATAACAAGCTGACATAAAACAAAGAAAATAAGGGGAAAATTAAACAGATAAGGGATAGAGATTTCCACAATCTTGTGTGGGGACTATCTTAGGTTTGCTTTTCCCTAATTTAGAAGGACATTTTATATCCTCTTCCTCGCCCACTGCATGTCATCATTAATTAGGCTGCAGATGATGATGATAAAACATCACTCTTAATCAACTACCAAATTGTTCTTCACTCTTCTCTACTCTTCCCCACCTTCTCCTCCCCACTAACGCATCCCTAAAAAATTGGTTCTTACTAACTTTCATCACCACTACTACTGGAAAGCCGAGCTCCGTCGCCCCCAGTAGATTGAAACAAGGAAATGGTGCCTTTGGAGTGGTATAAAAGAACTGAAATAACATTCTCGACAACAACAACTACTAGACGCATGTAAGACCTGTTACCTCAATGGGACCTCGGATGAGATAGAATAGAGATTGAAAGAGCTGTGTTGACCCTTGCTACAATAAGCTAATTCAATGGATAAACAAATTGTAACTTCGAATTTCCTATTTGACTACTTGAGGGAAGAAATAAGCTCCACGAAATGGCAATGAAGCATGTTCTGCCTTCCAGAATGATTGGTGCACTTTTAGGGTTTGCGTATTATGGACTAGTGGCATGTCAGAAAAGCGTAAAATTTATTGACATGTCGCCGAGATTGTGAAAGTTGCTTAGGGCTGGTAGAGATCGGATAAGGGACAACCAGATTAATACGCTAGAGTAATCAAAAACCAACCTTTGTGCAGTTGTAGGCAGCGTTGCTGAGGGCCGTTAGAGTCTGCAGTAGGATTTCTGGAGGAGTATTTGAAGGTTCGAGAGTATTAGCAAATAACTCAGGGATTCCATAACCTGAAAATAAAATAACGATAATAACAAAAATTTTTGAGCCTTTGCTAATTATACTTCGATTTATTTGAATAAAAGAATCAAATGGAAACCATTTTGAAGCTTCAAGAGTTAGGTCGGCTGAAACTCGTGCTGAGAAATGGAGTGACGTGAATGAGAATGCAAATACCTGCAATGGCTATCACAAACATGGCTATCGGATGTGAGGTTCTCATGACACTTCGGAATTGAAGAAAATTATGTGAAATTCGAAGTAAAATTAAGCAAGTGGACGAATATTTGGTTATTAGTGCAGATATGCCGAAGGTGTTCACACACTATGCTTCCCATTAAAATTTCAAGCCCTCTTCATTCACAAACTTGATAACAATCGATGATGTCTGCAACAAAACGGATTTATGGAGGAGTATAACTTGTATTGTAATGATTTGTGCCGGTCTTTATGAAATAAGGCCATTATTGGCTGCTGCCGCTCAATGCTCCCTCAACTAAGCTCTCACAAAACCTCCATGGTTTTCGGATGTATGCATTCCTTCTCGAAGGGTGGTGTGATGAATTCGCAATCATAAAGAGGCCCACAGGTTGAATTGGGAAGACTAGATGGAATTGTTCTCCAATGCTGTAGTAGTTAAGCCCCGAAAAATGAACAAGTGTACCCTATAATAGGGCCTTTGCATGTTAGCAGCAATATTCAGCTCTCTGTCACTGTCTACAAACTTTGCCAGTGATCAGATCTGAAGCGGTCTATGAAGCCTCTCCCAAAGGAAGTGTAAAATAAACTTTTTCCAGGCTCCGTATTCGAAGCCGAGTTGAATCTGCCCATTGTGGCTACCTTGAGTAAAACTTGTCCATTGAATTGCGTTTAAATCTAATACACTTTGAGGTTACCAATCACCGAATACTCGAATACGTACGAATGACCAATGCGTCACTTTAGTTCGAAAGGGATATTACTCAAGGCACAGGGGAAGAAACGCAGCATTACATGATCACAGAGATGTGTCTCTGCAAGACCCTCCATAAAATATGGGAGAATTTAGATATAACACTGAAAATCTATCCAAAACACTGGCCATGTAGGGCACACTCAAAAAACCGAACCAAAATTTTGAGACAAAAGGTGAAGATATGAGCAAGATCTAGTACCGTTTGAGCTGATAAGACGCTTTCAACGCGAAAAATCAAACACAATACCCGTAAAAATAAGTTAGCTACACCACAAAAACTGCCATTTGTGTTACTTAAATTCTCGCATGCCTTAAAGTTTCCAAGTGCCCGACTGAATGCATTAACAGACTTCGAAACTATTAACACCTCTAACGCGTGTATTTTTGGAATCGCGTTTTGGCAGGCCCCTTTAAGAGCCTAAAAGCATGACATAAAGAAATTTTACATTAGAAGAATTGACTATTTTAAAACCCCATTCAACTTGCATTTGAAGGAGTTTTTGGGGGGGGGGGGTAAATGAATTGGAAAAGTTTGTGTCAAATTAACGATTGGCTATTTCCAAGATGGATTTAAATCGTAGTCAAACATAAGTAGAAGCCCCGGTGACCGATTTGGAAAAGGAACATGGTATATACAGAAAGTGTTTTGAGAAAATTTCAGTATCAAATGCATTTAAGACACAGCGATGAACGGAAGTCACTAGCGTAATCTTTAAACCATAACGCTGCATCTGATTTCGGGAACCAAGGAAAAGCGGAAATGAAGGAGCACTGGACAATAAATCAAATAAAATAGCAAATAATCAATTAAAATTAAGATAAAATGTGTTTCAAGATGCTTCAAAACCACAGCAAATGTAGGGATTCTCGTCGAGACGTTTCGCGTACGCCAAAAAAAGGAGAAAAGTCGCTTTGTGGGGACCCGTCATCGCATGCATACACGCCAGGATTGGGAGGTGCTACCGTAAAAACAGTGACCAATCATTAACCTCTGTTTGTTTAACCTAATCCGCCATCCTGATCATGATTGACCTCCCTGCATGAACTCAATTCACTTTCTGTATCTAGTGAATAAGCGTATCGGTGATACGTCTCTTCTTCTATAGACTCGGTAATTGGGAGAATCTATCACAAAGGTTTTTGAGACTTAAGCCGGGCTTTACTAGTGTAGAAATCCTCTACAGCTTAATTCCAGATAGACGTTTATTAGAAATTGACAATAAAAATAACAATTACCACCAACTACATTTAAAAGTGACTAAAGACTTTCGTAAATAAATAAAAAACCAAATAATTAGGAAATATATTTACAAAGTGTGCTTATCCAATGACTTAAATATTCACAGCAAATAATTACAACTCAAAGTAACGGTGTAAAAGTTGAAATTTAAAGTTTGCCTTAGTTATAACAACGGGACATAAAAAAATTACAATTTCTATTCTCTATAGCCTAAAAATAGACAGTTGAATAAGAAGTGCTAAGTTAGATTAACTCAAGGGAAACTTTCATTTGTTTAAAACAAATTTGTGACAGGAGTTATAAATAGCCCGAAACACAGGGGTCTTCCTCATTTTTGTTCTCAAAAGAGGACAATAGAGTGTACTACACTACAAAAGTATTTCTTTATTCCAGGCCGAAATCCAAGAGCTTCAAGAAACTCCTCCACCCAAAATCAATTATTGATTTGATAACTCAAAAATGAATTTTAAGGAAAAGGAAAAATAGCAGAGACTAGGCCGATTCGTTTCTGTGCAGAAAAGCCTTATTGCTGTCAACATCAGTCAATCACATTCAATCAATGCTTTTTGGCATTGGCAACGGACTTCTAAATATAATGGGATGATAATCATGCATTCTTTGCTTCTAATTACTGTGAAAGGTAACAGACGTGCTGGCATAACCACAAATAGGGCAAGGAATTTGAAAGATAAGCGCTTGCTTGTGAACTAAGATCAAATATCCCAATCAGGGATATAATTTGCCGCACATCCATTTTCTTCCAGAAGTCATATATAACTACACTTGTATGCTATTACAAATTAACCCCCACCCCTGTTTAGAAATTCTATTGTATTTAACCATTAAAAAAAGCTATACACAATGCATGCTGTAGACCTAAGAATAGTCATTAATTATAAATCCAAACTCCCAACTTCAATATTGTTTTTTTTACAATTTTTTGAGTAGTTTGACAGCAGAATAAAGCAGAGGAAGGAGACAAGGTTGCCTCCCAAATTTAAAATTCCTCATCTACCCCCCCCCCCTCAATTCAAAATTAGTCAGCCCGTCAAAACTGCCAATGAAAATTTTATGAAACCCTTAACACGAGTGCAATGTGCTGACTAAGCGATTCTACTCTCGATCCAATGTCATTCAATTTTTGTAACTTTTTTTCTTAATTAAAAGAATGTTTGAAAATGATCCAGCTCAAGGAATGCTGGAGCTACATGCAGGTTTAATGAAAACTCACATGAAGATATGAAAACCTAACTTTGTAGTACTCGGACATATCAAAGTGAGCTAGATCGTTGTGAGAAAGTGGACAATTCAATACTTTTAGAACTCTACCATTTGCTAATCCACTTACACGATTCATAATTAAATAAACTCATTAACTATCCCAATTACTAATACACATTCTCATGATTAGAATGTGTAAATATTTCTCACAATTCAGCTGCCAATGATAGTATGGCCATATTTCTTTTTATTTAAAAACAATAAAGTTGTGATTAACAACGTTTGTACCCTCTAATAAAAGGGCGATTGAAAAGCATTGTAGTTATTTCAACTTTACATTGTCAAATTGACTTAATCAATCAAAGAGATACCAGAATACCCTTGTCCTTACCTGCAAAAAATGCAACAACTTTATCAATGGTGCATATTCCAACCCAGTGACATGAAGAATAGATTAAGGAAATTGGGTGAAAGATTAAGAAGAAGAAGTAACAGTAGAAACATCATCTAAGGCCTTTCTTATTTTCTTTTGTAGTTATACAATGGAGTTTCCGGAGAAGAAAGCAGGCAATAACAATAGCACACGCATACATACATTCTATTTTTATGTCAAATACTTCTTGTTTATTTCTTCAACACTACGATATCTGTCACATAAACGTAAGCTGTCATAAAGGTAGAATGAGGTGAGGTGCAGAACGTGCATTCCTACCATAATACAACAGTTAGTTGGGAACAATTCATGTAATTATATAACGCGTAAATAACATTTGTTGGTAAATTGGCCTAATAAAATTTTTAATTTGAAAGGCTTTCATATGAAATTTACTTTAAAGGGAGGGGGGTTAGAATTTTACATAGACAGAAACCGAATATTCAGCCAATTGCCAATCAGCTCAACCATACCTCATCATGTAATGGGCTATAAAGTTGAAATATTAATGCTTCTAGCGGTTCTGAATAAGAGCTTGAAAATAAGTGATATTTATGGAGAGAGTATTGCGGTAGTTCATTCTAAGTAATTGTCGAAAATAATCCCCACTAACAGCGTCAAATAGACGCAAATAACTGTCAATCAAGGCACAGATGCAATCTCAAGAATGTAAGCCAATGACAATACGACTATAATAGTGCAAATTAATTATTCATCTTATTTTTGTAAACAAGCTGAGAAGTACAAGAAAAGGGTTAATCTTAACTCACTTTGCCAAGTAACCCTATACATTAATTTCTAAAGGGCAAATGAACTTAACTAATGTCGAAACGGTATTTGCCCTTTAAGGTTATTGAGTTGAAACGAGTTAGTTCGAATTTCACCCACTAGTCAAGCATTCCTACAACTCGTGAAGTCCAGAACATTTGGAACATCGAAGCCACATATTAGAGTCGGTGGGAAAATATGTAACATGTAAGCATTCATAAGTATAATTCACACAATAGCCTATTTAAGAACAATAATTACTACGATTGAGTCCGATTCCTTAATAAATTCTTCAGTAATCTATGAGATGCAATGGAGAAGATAAAAAAACTACCGTAATTGTAATGTCGTGAGTAAGAAAACTGGTCAGTTTTCCTGCAAGAGAATACTACAATAGGCACAGACATCCGCACAAATTTGGCAGACAATTCAAGGATAGAAGGGAATTGGCACAGAGTCGATGATGCTGAGATTGAAGGCTAAGGTGGGGAAGAAAATTTGGGCAAAAAAGTGCTTTGCCCGCCTCCCTTCCTCTCTCGCTTTCTCTCTCCGAGGAATTGAATGAAGGAAGATGCCTGGGATACTTTAACCTCCCCTCAAGGTGAC